ATTTTAAAATGACTTTTATAGTAGTATGTTTACTAAGAATGGATAACCTACTCCTCATATCAACTTTCATAATTTCAGATACAATTTATATTTTTGCTAATTAAGTCATTACCAAACTAAAAACTTCATGTGTTCAGTAATAATTCTGCTAGATTCCTTTTTTTTCCCCTAAGATAAAAGTGCAAGCTAACAAGAGATAGCTAAATTGGAACTCAGTGATAAATTATGACAACATTAATGAGGGACAACCCTGTAATTCATTTTCTTACCATAGAACACATTGAGCTCTTTAAAATTCATGCACTGAAACAATTTTATGCCCATTTTCATGTTACTATGTCATATTCAGGGCTGCAGTTTCAGGCTTATAAAATGGAAGCAGCATGGTCTTTAAAGGCGGATGATCAGGAGCAGATCTTACATGGTATTAACAAAGGAACATGTAGAGAATACTGACCAAAATATATATATATTTTTTTAAAGTAATGGAACACGGATTGTCTTGTATTCTTTCTGCCTTACCAAGAGTAGTAATTGATAGTCACAATGGAATCATTGTACATTAAACTGCAATACAGACAGCCCCAATAAAATAATTACTTGATAAACACTGGTAACAATCTATTTCTCTGTCGGCAGAGATAGAAAGTCATGACACATTTTTTCTGAAGGATCATTGGCAACTGCTCAGCAGAAAAATAGTTTTTGCAGGTTGCGCATAAATATTTAGTGTTTCCAAACAGGTACATCCCCAACAGCAGTATTTTTGACAGCGACAGACAGTCTTTTGGGAGAAACAGTTTGAGTAATGAAAGAAAACAGGGCTGGATGTGGGAATTGATATTCCAAGTTAAGTTGGGCCCCATACTAGGTGGGTGGCTTTGCACAAGTCACTTAGCTTTCTGAGCCTCCATTTCTATATCAAAGGATTACAGTAGAGATGTCATAATGTTATGGGATTCCTAGATCAATACACAACATTAGAAATACTGGGCTTTAAATATGCAAAATTAAAAGTAGTGATCATCCACTAAGCATTCATCCTTTTTTTTTTTAAGCATTCATCTTTTAATTTAACATGTGTATGTTTGCCTAATTGTCAGATAAAGGGCAAATTATTTCAGATAAAGCTGTTGATCAGCTCACAATCTCTTCAACACCCGACAGATCACCAGAGAGAATAAGAAATTATGTGGATGGAAATTCTTCTCATGACCACTGCTAATTATAGTCAGCAACAACAGATTTTTTCTTTTCCTGATTTTGGTAAGTCACTATGCCATTAAAGGTACAGTTTTTATAGTCTTCCTTTGTTATCATCTGCCAATCTGCTACTTTGAAAGGGACATCTTACTTTCTTGAGTAATCAGAAGTCTAAGAAGAACATAGTAGCTTAACCCAGGGTGACAGCAGTGGAGATGGAGAGACTTGGTTAGTGAAAGATGCATTTTTTAAAAGATTTTATTTATTTATTCATAAGAGAGAGAGAGGCAGAGACACAGGCAGAAGGAGAAGCAGGCTCCATGCAGGGAGCCCAGTGTGGGACTCGATCCCGGGTCTCCAGGATCACGCCCTGGGCCAAGGCAGGCGCTAGACCACTGAGTCATCCAGGGGTCCCGGAAGATGCATTTTAGAGATAGTGTCTATAGTTTTCATTGAAGAATTAGATGATTTCTTATAGGAGTGAGTGAGTGGTTTGCAACACCCTTTCTTGGAACAGACAAGAGAGCATTAGGTTGGATAGCATAGAGATTTTTAAAAACCACTTTGGATAAAATCAGTTATGATAAGCTCAAAATGTCTATGAAATACCTAATAGTCTGGAGCTGTGGGGAAAGGTGAGGGCTACGTGTGTGACTTCAGGACCTGTCTATACGTGGACAGAGTATGGAGCCAAGGAATGGATGACATCACCGTAGGAAAGAATTTAGAGAGGGAACAGAAGGATGGGAGGAAGGACAGGAGGTAGGGAGAAAGGGAAAAGAGGAAAAGAAAGAAGGATTGTGAACAGAACATAGTGAGTGCTCTTTGTATCAGGTGAGAATCCTTACTCATATTATCCAGTCTTTGATCATTCAGAACCCAGAAATATTTATTTGTGTAGTTGATCCAAAATAATTGATGAAACTGACTGTTTATAATATTGGTTTAAACTTTCTTTATTGGAGACCTATGTATCTCCACTATATACAAACACTATGTATATAAGAGACCATTCATGGAAAAGAAATGTAAACGCATATTTTATTCACATACAATGTTACATGTATAAGATTAGCTCAAAGTATTTGGATGCATATATTAATGTTCATTAATGCACTTATCAGCAGAATGAAGTCCTTTTGCTTTTCAGTGTTTCATGGCTTATGGTTCACTTGAGGTTTAGATTAATTTCATTCTTATATGCCATTTCGGACCATGTATTTCTGCAATTCATTTGGTCAAGCCGGTTTTTCATAAAGGAAAACTAAGTTGAAAAGCATGAAATCACAAAATGAGTTTAAAATTTAAATGGAAAACGTTTTTTTTATTTAAATGGAAAAAAATAAATTTAAATGGAGTAAAATGAACATATTATCTGTAGTAAACTTTTCAGGTCAGAAAAAAAGAATGCACTCTGCGTCCTTGTTGTTACAGGAACGAACTTAACATTCTCACACGAAGAAATTTGAAAGAAAGAATGGAAAGTATGATGATCCAAATATGGCTACTATATAACAATTTGGCCTTTTCTTATGACATTAATATATGAGGACAAGGAAGTTGTCAGAATTCTAAAGATCATCCTCAACAGTTGTCCCTCTCTTTTCCCTCCTATTCAGTAGAAGTTGAATCCTACTCTATCTTCTTTCCACGTATCTTTTTTATCTGTTCAGTCCTAGCTCCATGGTTCCTCATCCACTTAAAACAACTTACCATCATTTGCCCAGAATGAGCCTCTTACTTATACACCTGCCCCAGGCTTGACCCTTCCAAGGCATCCTTTCCTCAGCTGCCCAGATTCTTTTTTTTTTTTTTATGATAGGCACACACAGAGAGAGAGAGAGGCAGAGACACAGGCAGAGGGGGAAGCAGGCTCCATGTACCGGGAGCCCGACGTGGGATTCGATCCAGGGTCTCCAGGATCGCGCCCCGGGCCAAAGGCAGGCGCCAAACCGCTGCGCCACCCAGGGATCCCCAGCTGCCCAGATTCTTCCACCAGTTCTCCTGCTTCCATTGCTGTCCTAGTCTAAGCCTCCTGTGTCTCATCCTGCTAACCAATTTCTGCAAAAACTGAGCATGTCATCCCATTGCTTAAAATCCTGCAATGACATCTCGTTCAATTATAATAGAATGTAGACCCCTTACCAATGTCCTTTAATCTAGTCTCCGTCTATGCCACCAACCTCCATCTCCTTCAGCTTGTCCCTGATTCAGAACCACTACTGCATGATTTATCTCTAAGCCACAAACTGCAAAATTCCTGGCCACCTCAGAGAATTTGCTTTAAATCCTCTTTACATAGCCTTTCAAGTGGCTTCTTTCTCAACAGTCAAGTCTCAGTCCAAGTGACCTTCTTACGAGGCCTTCACTGAATGCCTCCCCCACTTTGTATTCTCCCTCTTAATAGCATATGCCAACTACTTGATAGATTTCAGTTGATTCCTGAAATTATCTTGAATAATAATGTGGGCCCTGGACTTAGCTTACAGGTTTCAAACACTGGCTCTTTCACCTACTAGCTTCCACCTCTGAAAGTTATTTAATCTCTATTTCTTTTCCTCTAAAATGAGATAATCGTACTTCATAAGGTCATTGCAAAACTTAAAATGATTTAAACCTAAAGTTCATAGAACAATGCCTTGCTAGTCATTATTATTTGCTGTAGATATAGTTGAATCGATAATAAAATATCTCTCTTTATAATTTTGTCCACACTTCTGTAAGTGTGACATCTAGAACACAGTCTGGCACTCAATAGTAGATCCTCAGTACACACATAAGCCACTATTATCTGACTGACAGCTCTGATCAGAGAAATTCAAATTCCAAATGTTTTAAAATAATGTGGGAAAAAAATAATGTGGGAAAAACTGTAATTTATCATTCTTTCCTTTGTCTCTAGTTGAAAATTTCTAACTGCCAAATATATTCACCCTTGAACAGCAGAGTTCAGTTACTGAGATCTGGATACATGGGAAATCTCAGTCCTATAAAGGGAAACTTGCATGAAGGAGATCACAGAGGAAATGGGCTTTCAGCCATGAGGTGGATATTGGCAGGTCCTGGTAGGATTGGGGAGTATTAGCCGGGATACCTGGGTCAGAACTAGGGAGATGACTCCTAGAAATGACCCACAGATACAAGAGGGAACCAACTCAGGTAGCTTCTAGGGGTGGAAGTTGGTCAAGATTGGCTTGAAAACAGAACAGAACATGCCCTACCAATAAGCTCTACTAGATCAGTTCACAGAAGTATACCCATCTTGGGCTCTGCTGGAGAAGAAAGAAAGGAAAAAAAAAAATCAGAGGTAGATTATAGGTACCTTTCCTAAATGTTGTTTATGAAAGTTGGTTCAGATTTGAATAAAATTGGCAGTACCCCATTATCAGATTGTTGATAAAATCATTATGTTAAGGCCATGTACTATATATTGATTTTGGCTGCATGTTATTAGGAAATCTTGTCTAGGTTAAATATATTCTTATAGATTATGAAGCAAAAGGAAGATTAAGGCCTCTTGCTCTCCATTGCTTGCCTCAAATGAGTGATCTTAAATCAGAGTTTAATGGGAGATGCACACAGAGAAACTCAATCTACCATTTCACTTTATCATATATGTCTCTATACCATTTACTGTGTTTGTAAACTTTAACAAGTCCTGTACAATATTGGATATTCCAGCTTTTGGCAGGGTTGGTTTGTTGTTGTTGTTGGCCTTGGCCTTTTTTTTTTTTTTTTTTTTGGCTGTAGCATCTGTTCAGGGTGTCAGAGTACAAATTTAGAAACTTATGTGGAGAGCCAGCAGGTCATCATTTCACGAACTGATTTGTTAGATATTTCTCAAGTAAAGCTACAAAGCTACATTGCTTGGAACATCTTTTGACATAAAAACTATAAAGGTATGTGTCTCATCCTTCTAAAAAACTTGGCATTTAAACAAAACATGAAACTGAATTATGTAAGGACTCCATTACCGATAGTCATGTTACGTAAAGTGTTGCATATTACTGTATTCTCCCTTGAAATTACTCACTATGCTTTATAACAACATGTTTTCATAGACAGAAAGTTATGCTATTAAATTTTAAAATTCTTTAAACTATAAATTGTTAAAAAAAACTTACATTCTCCTAGTCCAGATTTTAATTTGCATAATTCATCATAATTCATAGCTACTTTCATACACATTACTAATGAAAAGTCTTGATTTATTAAGTCAGATATATGAATTACTGCATCTAATTTTAGAAAAGCTCCCTATATTTCTACTGAACTGAAAAAAAACTTGATATATTTGGCAATTACTCGAATATTTCTGATTAATGAAGCTCTTAGAGCTAAGGCTGTTTATGCAATTTCATTTGAAACTTACTATTAGCAGTATTCCATAAATTATTATATTATGTGGATTGATCCTCATGATTTTTAAATTCATTCCTTTGAAATAAAATTTTTTTCAAAGAAAAATAAAGATTAAAATGTTGAGTTGAATAACCGTATCTGTCCACTTGAAAAAAATTCTCCATTCTGTAATTTTCATCCAAAGAGCCACTATCACCTTACTATTATTTTCTTCCCTAACTTCTTCTCTCAAATATTTCTTCCTCCTTTTAGTATTTCTAGCCAAGTAGATCTAAGTCAAGATCACACTCTTCTTCGCTCCCAGTGAGTAGAACTTATGTAGAGTTTGTATAGAAAGAGTTCTCCCTTAGCTGAACTGAGCCTTTCTCCCTCTGTCTTAGCCAGAAGCCTAGGAGCAGCAGGCAAGGAATGAGAAAAAGGAAAATGTTCCAAATACATTTTAGGAATTGGAGAGTAAAACTAGGAGATTGGTGTGTAGGATTTGGGGATTTTGTGTGTGGCGGGGGGGGGGGGGGGCAGGGGAGGCTGTTAGCATATTTTAAAGCTCTAGGAAAAATGAAACTCAAATAGGATTATCATCAGCCATTTGCTTTCTGGCTTCTCAACATGTGTCCACACATTCAAAGTGAGGAGCTAATATTGTTCAGGGGAAAATCATCTAGATATATACTAATTTTAAGCATTTTTCTCTTAAACTGCTGAGAATAAGGAATTTGGTGGAAAATGTTAGTTCTTTCTCATCAGTTAAAGCCAATTTAGTTAAAGTCACAGTCCTCGTGAGCGAAGACTTCAGAAAAGTTAATTTTGAAGATATACATTTTATAGATGACTTTCTAGATACATTTCTATACCCTTTCTTAATACTTAGTTTAATCCATCCAAAGAATACTTTGTTCTCTAATAGGAATCCACCCATAATCACATCACCTTGGAAATATCTCAAAAGAGGTTTTATTGACCCATAAAGTTCTTAGTAAAAAACATTCTTATTTTTCAGGATGTCCAACTTGGGACAATTTGACTCTGATTTTTACCAATCTAATTATACTATTGATAATCAGGAGCTGAGTTCTGAAGATTCTAATGCCTATGGACATCTTTATGTATCTAGAAAGTAAGTACTTTGAAAAAATGTGCTTTTATTTTAAGAAGTCATAATATTTTAGCAAGGGTTTCTACATAGGGAAGGCTTCCCTGGGGGAAAGCAAAAGCTCTCCCCAGCATATCTTGGTAAAGTACCCAAGGAGAAATACCAGGAAAGGTGAGAGAAATTAATTCAGTTCACCTCAGGCCCATCTCTAGGTGGGTAGCTCGTCTCCTCTTTTCAAAATATCACTTAACGGGAAGCCTGAATACAGGCGCTGGATAGAACAGAACGTGTTTTCATTTTACATGATATTTTCTGGGACACTGCTCAAGAGATAGATTTTATTTAACTAGTAAACATTTCTTGAGTGCCTGCTGTGTGTTGGGTATTAGAAGGGAGCTACAAACCCAAAGATAAAAAAGAAGTCTATCATCTTTTCCCTCATAAAATTTAAGAATTTATGTTAATGGATAATTAAATATGCAATTATAATACAGTGTGAAAACTTTTTTTAAAAAAAGATTTTATTTATTTGTGAGAGACACAGGCAGAGGGAGAAGCAGGGTCCATGCAGGGAGCCTAATGTGGGACTCCATCCCGGGACCCTGGGGTCACGCCCTGGGCCAAAGGCAGCGCTAAACCACTGAGCGCCCCACCCCCCAGGCATCCCAGTGTGAAAACTCTTAAATGGAATTGAAATAAGCATATTTCAGAATGTGTCGGTTATTTTGAGTTGACAATTCAACTTGAGTTGAAAGTGAAAACAACTAAGAATTTAATATTTACCCTTTACTACAGGAAACAGGGCATTTAGGGTAAGAAGAATTGGTTCAAGTTCTGGCTCTAGCTTTTGTGATATTGGGAAAGACTTTCAGGCAGCCCGGGTGGCTCAGTGGTTTAGCACTGCCTTCAGTCCAGGGCCTAATCCTGGAGACCCGGGATCGAGTCCCATGTCGGGCTCCCTGCATGGAGCCTGCTTCTCCCTCTGCCTGGGTCTCTGCCTCAATCTCTCTCTCATGAATAAATGAATAAAATCTTAGAAAAAAAGAAAGAAGGAAAGAAAGAAAGAAAGAAAGAAAGAAAGAAAGAAAGAAAGAAAGAAAGAAAGAAGAAAGAGAGAAAGAAAGAAAGAAAGAAAGAAGAAAGAAAGAAAGAAAGAGAAAGAAAGACTTTGAACTTCCCTGAGTGTCTTACACTGATAAATAAGGACATAAATAATACCTACCTTATGGAATTATGAAGAGCAGTTGGTGATAATGTGTAGGAAACTGTGTTTTAAAGTTAAACTATTATTTAAATACTATTTTTTCCTATAACTATACCTTGCCATAGCAATGGACATTTTTTTGTCTAACGTCACTTAAACGGACTATATTTGTTCATACAGTTGCTGCTGCTTTGGATGTTCTTTTGTGGATCCAGATTAGTGAACTGTGGGAAGCGTCAGACCTTTCGACTTCCGAGAGAACTGTTACTGACCTCTTACTGTGTGTTGGGTGCACTTGTGAACTTTACGCCAGTTAACTCATTGGTTCCCCACACAATCCTCAGATGAGGGCCATTATTTTTCCCTGTTTTAGTTATGAGAAGGCAGGGAGCCAGAGAAATTAAGGAACCTCTTCAGGGACACACAGTAATAAGAAATGGGGGTTGGATTTTAATTCAAAATTGTTTGATTAGACTCATTACTAGAGTGGGCATATAATTTATTGTAAACCTGAGATATTTTTAATAGTAAAATGCCTACTAGTAATAATGATGTTGGTATAATAGGAATAAAAAATTGGACCATCCTAGGTAAACTGGGATGTGTGGTTACTGCTTCTCATTCCAATAAGTTTAAGCCAAAAAAAAACACATAACAAATATTTCAAACTTATTAATTCTTGAAGTTTTGGTTTTCTAAACACAGGTAAGTACCCTGAAAATTCCAGATAAAGGAGGAAAAATTAGAAATGTACAACAGGCAGTGGGAACCCTTCTGTTCCAGCTATGCACAGGACAACTGGGAGATGGTTTCCACCAGCTGATCACTCCTGAAGACATGGCCAGATAGGTGCTGTTTCCTAGCAGCCATTCCTCTATGGTGGTAGGGAAACGTATTGGTATCAACTTTTTTTAAAACTATAAAAGTTAAATATCTGCAGTTTAATCCCCTTCATGAACCTAGTCTATGTTGTCCAGCGCCAGCCAGGTTCCTATAAAAATCTCCTAAAATGAAAACCCATATGCTCCTTTCTTCCCTTGCTCGCTCTCTCTCTCTCTCTCTCTGAGTATTATCATTAGGCAAATTAAGATACTTTTAAAATATTTATTAAAAAATAAGACAAAAGGGTAAGGCTGTAGAGACTTGGCTCAATCCATTGCAGACTCTAACTACCAAAAAAGACCTTGATTTTATTTCATTTATGATTTACCACTTTGGAAGGTCAAGATAAAGTGTTTGCTGCCAGGAAAGTGTTAATCAAGCAGAAGGAGTAGTTTGAGCATTAAGGTGTTACAGGATGGTAGCTCAAAACATGCAATCGGCAATGAGAGTGATCTAATAAGATTTTTCTGCTCAGTTCTCCTGTTGTAGTGAAGGAAACTCGTCACCTTCTGTTTCTTTTCTCCAGATGGAATAAACACCTGGGTAGCATCTATAATCTACATTTTCAGAGTAAACTAAACTAAAATGTTCAATAAGAAACAAGGCTCTCTCCTCATACAGGGACTCACAGACCACAGCTTTCTCCCCCTGCCAAGCTGCCACCCAATTTTCTTCAACATTGTCCAGAAATCAAGATGACGAAGAGATGGAAATTAACATCAGCAAGTGGGGAAAATTAAAGATTATATTGTATTAAGGCGGTGGCCCAGCCTGCTTCAGTTGCTTAGCATTTAAATCCAAGTCATGATTTGGACACAGTAACATTTAAATTCCAATCCATACTGCAAGTCTCAGGAATTAGAAAAGGGCATATTAGCTGTGGTAGTTTTATGAGGTACATAAAACACGGAGTCAAGTCCGTGACTTACTCGGGTACATCGAACACCAGAGATTCGATCTTTTATTCACATGGTGAATAGTGAGTGCAATTAAAATACACCTCAAATCAAAATAAGATGTTGACCATCCTGGCAAAAGACACAGGGATCCAGGGGATACTTATAATCAATTAGTCTCCTCCTCTCCTCCTCTCTGTCTCTGTCCACCCCCATCCCTGTAGATAGGAGCTTATTTTAAAGAATGAATGAATGAATTTATTTATTTATTTATTTATTTATTTATTTATTTATTTATTTATGAGTGTGAGGGCATGCACACATACACACATACATGCATGAGTAGGGGCAAGGGCAGAGGGAGAAAATCTCAAATAGACCCCATGCTGAGCATGGAGCCTGACCTGGGCCTCAGTCCCATAACCCTGAGATCATGACTCTGTGCTGAAGTCAAGAGTCAGACGCTCAAGCAACTGAGCCACCCAGGTCCCCCTATTGGGGCTTGCTTAAAAAGCTTGCTCAGTGGCATACTGATCTGAAAGCTGATTGACTGTGCTTACTAAGACAATAAAAATATTTATTTTTATATAAATATTTAAAAATATATATATTTTAAAAATATATATATTTTAATATATATATTTTATATATATATAAATATGTTACTTATTTGAGAGAGCAAGAGAGAGAGCACTAGAGGCGTGAAGGTCAGAGAGAGAAGCAGACTCGCCGCTGAGCAGAGCCTCGTGCTGGGCTCGATCCCAGGACTCCCGGGATGCTGACCTAAGCCAAAGGCAGACAGGCACTTCAGCGATTGAGCCACCCAGGCACCCCTAAAAATATTTATATTTAAAAACAAGTTTTCTTGTTTTAGAATAAAGAAAGGAGTTTCCTCATTTTAAATAACTATCCAGTCATGCAGACAGGCATTATTTCCAATCACCTGTAGCCAGTTGTCGAGGCTGTATTTTCCAACTATATTTTTCTGTTATTTATTTATTTATAAATTGACTTTGCTATTTTTTTTTAAGATTTTATTTATTTATTCATGAGAGACACAGAGAGAGAGGCAGAGACACAGGCAGAGGGAGACGCAGGCTCCATGCAGGAAGCCCGACATGGGACTCGATCCCGGGTCTCCTGGATCAGGCCCTGGGCTGAAGGCAGGTGCTAAACCACTGAGCCACCTGGGCTGCCCTTTTTCTGTTTTTTTTTTTTTTAAATGGGAAATCTATTCAAATGTTTTGAAGAAAGACATAGATATTTTTGCAGAAAAGGGGACAACTGTAAAACTCCCTTTGAATGTTTTAGTAGGACCTGGACAGACCGATACCAAATCCCCAGCTTTTCTGAATCCCCCCAAACCTGATCTTCCTCTAGTGTTTCACACATAGTACATGGCATGTAGTCACCCAGAATCTGGAAACGTAGAAGTCAACTCCCCTGTCACCGTTCCCTAAAACACACCACCGTTCAACTAAGCCTGTACATTTTTTTTTCTTACTGAAGATATTTAAAATGTCTGATTTTACTGACTCACCTGGAGACTTCTATAAATAAAATGTTTCTGGGAGTACATACTAAATTTTTTTAAGTCCACAGGGTATTTTCGTTGTAGATCAGTCATATTGCTGTGTCAGGCTGTTGGAGGTAATGGTGTTGCAAATTCGGAAACCCTTCCTAGTTTGAGGTTCGGGAGCCACGCTCTTGTCACCTGGCCACGTGAAATATACCCACACTTTAATATTAGTTAAGATGTGCAGGTAAACTTTCCATGAACTGTACGTATCTGTACGTATCTTTCAGTGAACTGTACGTACATTTCTTACCGCCCGATTTACACCCTTGCTGTCCACGTGACCCTGGGAGTCAGCTCATCACCTACATGCCTCCTGGATCAGACTGACGGTGGAAAGGAGCATCAGGGGACCGTCAGGATGGAAGTCCAAACCTACAGTTTTGGAAGAAAAAAACTTTCAATAAAGTGTGCAGCTAGTGACTCTATGATAGGACACAGAAAACATATTTCCGTAATCATAAAAACTATTACCAAGTCTTTTAAAAATGATCTTCTATATTTGCCTTGGAAGGTGAATGTGAGGTCCTGTTGCCTCAGAGCCAGGCAAAAAAATGTCCCCAGCTGGAGACTATGCCTTACCTTAACATCATCCATCTAGAGACTTGCTGGAACTTTATAAACCCAAGTATGGGTGGTGAAGAGGGAAATGCTGAAGAATTGGTGAACATACAGAGGGTTTTCTTTACAGACCAGGCATATGGCTATTGCTTATTGCTCAGAGACTGACGTCCTGAATGAGCGTAGTGGAGATTCTCCTGGTAGGAAAACGCAAGACTGGTGGGATGTGGTCAGAGTCTGTTGGGGTGTTGCAAGGAAACCAAAATGATAAAAAGCTAAAGATGAACAGCACAGAAGGCATATGAACTCCTGGCCTCCTATTAATGTTGTTTTCTTTGAGGAAGAGACAATTCTATTAACAAATATAGAAGATGCCGTTCCAGGGTGTGTGGAGGGGTCTAGAATGCTTTAGTGTAAGTCTCAGGAAGAGAAGGGCATACAAATACATAGCTAGTGCTCATTGATCATTTTTTGAATGCCCAACACCAGTCTAGGTGCTTTTTACTTAAGCTAATTTAATTTACAATAATCTTATGAGTTCCACTATTATTATTATTATGTAAAAGACTTTTTTAATGGCTTGGGTATATTGGTAGAAGAACCTCAAGCCCTTATTCAACTTTGCTACTGACTAGTACATTTTTTATTTGGTTCTTATTGGTTCATATCTTTTTAGGTATAGTTGACGAATAAAATTATATTAGTTTCAGGGTAGTGATCAGACAATTCTCGACATTAACCTATGCTCCTCACCATCTGTCACTGTGCATTATTATTATGGTGTGATCGGCTATATTCCCTATGCTGTACTTGTCATCCCCGCAATTTTTTTATCTTATAACTAGAAGCTTGTACTTTTTAATCTCCATCACCTATTTTGCCCACCCCCCCCAAACTTGTAAACCTCAAGTTGCCTCTAGTAACCACAAGTTGTTCTGTGAATTCTATTATGATCCTCCTTCTACAGATGAGAAAATCGAGGCACAGATGTGAGGTGATTAGCCTGAGATTATAACACTGGGATTTGAACACAGGCAGTCTAACTCCAGAGGCATGTTTGCTAACCACTGTGCTTGGTTTAAGATAAATTCTATCACTGGGCTGTTTTTACAAGCAGACGTATAACCCCCGCAGAGCCAGGAAGCAGATGAAGAGCCGTATGACCATGAATGTTGCCACTTGTCCTAAAGGAATCTTTTGCAGTCCTCTCACAGTTGTTCTGAGTAATGCTTACAGGGAGAGGAGATGCCTGCTAACAAAATTAACGTTTCAGCTCTACCAGCCAGAGTCCAGTGTTTCTTTTGGTCTAATTTGGTTGACACTTGTTTCACATGGAATAATGTGCGGAGTTAGAAATCGTCAAAATATCAAAAAGCGCCTTCTCCTAGAGCTAATTAAGATGCTCTGTAATCAAGGAAAAGAGGAATATTTCATTGATAAAACTGCAAAATTCCCATTGCTATACAAAATACTGATATGATATAACCTTAAAGTACTGGGGACACCAATCTAACTCATGCAATTGCCTTTAATAGGTTAATAAGTCAGGGCTATGTGCTTGACAAAGCCATTAGTAAAGTATCCAAGATACAAGGTTAAGAGAGCACTTAGCACAGGGAGTACTGAGTAATGCATAGAATTGTTGAGTCACTATATGGTACACCTGAAATTATTATAATGCTGTATGTTAAGTATATTGGAATTAAAAAAATTTTAAAGATACATAGTTAAGTAAAATTATAGTTATTCATCGCAATTTTCAGAAAAAGGCCTAAAACCTGAGAACTGGGTTATTTTACAGAGTTTGTGGCCTGGAAATGCATACAAACCATGTGACTATATCGGTATTGCTTAGATTTCATTTATTGAGACGTGGTGCAAGATGTTAGTGTCAACATGTACAAAATTATAAGATACAAAGAGAGAATTTTAATTCAGACACTGATAGCAGGGGACCATGGTAATTTTCGTAGATAAAACCTTTGGGGGTTTCCTTTGTTAGACAGATTTTGAAATTATACTTTCTTAAATACATGGTGGGGGAATTTTAGTATTACATCTCCATTATGATAAGGACAACCAGAGGCCGAGCTCCTGATGTAGAAGTTTTGCTGGATGAAGGAGCACAGAGAGAGGAAAGAAAGGGAAAGGGATGGGATCTAGCTGGCAATGTGCACAATTTGTTTTTCCATTGTGTTTTTCTGTTCTCAGGGGTTGGCTCAAGGCAGCCACCTATGCTAAATTCCCCCCATACGTGGAAATTGCTTGGCAGGGAGTAATCATGAAAGTTCCCTCTCCGCAAGCCTGATTAGCCACACCAGGGCCTGAGTTATGGCGAGGCCAGGACAGTTGTCAGTGAAGTAGCTTTGGTTAGATGCTGGCCCGTTGAGTCAACTTTATTTCCCCCCTTTAAGCTTCTAGAAATGCTTACATTTAAAAAAAAATGTATATATAGATCAAGAGGGGCTTTTATCAGCCAACAGGCCATTCAGGTTCTTAGTTATAATTCATTTCTACTGGTACTTTTGATAGTGGTTCTCTTTTGCTGGGAAAAGAAAAAGAAAAGAAAAAAAAAAAAAGCCTATGTCCCATGGCTAAGTGAGTAATCACAGTAATCAACACTTGCTGTGGGGGAATCCAAGAAGTATCACCAGGTCCCTGTGCCTAATGAGCTTACGGTTGAGTTAGTGAATGATTAAATGCATATATCTCTATCTCGGTAGCTTTATTTTGCAGAAAAGATGATTTTCTCTGTCAGGCTTACTCATATAAGGGAAGTTGAGTGTGTTACCCTTAGACTTCATATTAAGATTAATGTTGGAGGGAAAGTATGAAAAGCCATTTTGTAAATATTTTAACACAAAGAGATCACAGGGAGCTGCAAAGTTCAGAATCCTGGGCTGAATTTTTAGCTCAGCCTAAGGGGCTCTGATGAAAAAAACTTAAACGTGTTAATAAGGACAAGGCCTTAGGTGTCTCCCCCTTCCTTCAAGTAAAAATAATTTAAAATGACAAAAGAACCTCATATACTTTCCTTCTTCCTTCCTTTTCTCTAGCTCTAGTAAGAAATTACGTACTCAGTGTTGTTTTCCAACTTGATCACGCAAATGGTGGAATAAAAAAATTAAAAAGCACAGTCAAGGAAGTATGGAAATATCATGTTTCAACACCACTAAATTGCATGTTTCCAAAGAAGGACGTGAGGCCAGCCAGAGAATCATCTTAGGTCTCAGAGATCACTCACTGGGCAGGAACTGTCTGGGAATGGCCAGAGCCAGAAAGGCAGTTGATGTATCTGGTTTGTTTCCTGTGAATTGACTCTTACTATTAAAATTGTGATTTTTACTTGTTACTTCCATAGGTTTATAGGGGTTGTCATGTCTGGTGATGCCCCTGAAAATCAGTTAAAAAAAAAAAAAAAAAAACATTGTATAGTCTGAGCACTGCTCAGACAGCTTCTCTCAGGACTCCAACCCCTGAAGTATTACTGTGTGACACCGGGCAAGTCCTTACAGTCTCCATGAACCTTCATTTCTTTATCTGTCAAATGGGATTAAAACCACAGTTTTTACCTTCCAGAGTATTCATCATGTGACAAAACATGAGAGAAAGTGTCCAGCACCTTGCATGTAATCAAATAAATGTTAGTTGGTATGGATCTTTCTTCTAGAACCTTCTCGCGACCAGTGACTTCATTTTTTCCTTTTTTTTAATTAAAGGTAAATTTTAAGCAAGTTCTTTCTTCCACGGGTACATCCTCATAAACACTAAGAGAACTCATAGAAGGAAGATTGTAGTTTCCTTCCGTGATTTGTCACGCTGTCCCTTTCTGAGATGAATAAAAATTGGTATTTTCCTTTCTCCAGACAGCCAGCCAGTGACCAGCGTCAGCCCGCCTTCGTCCCCCCGGAGATGCTCCTGCCCTCAGGTGGCGAGGCCCAACTTTTCCAGCCAGCGTCCAACCCGGATTATTATTCACAATCTTCCTACGTGGACAGTTTTGAGGAAGAGCCTCCTTTGCTAGAAGGTACACTAAGGAAGTGCTGTTCGTGTGTGCACAGCTGGGAGGCTGAGAGCAAGAGTCAGCACGTGGCCTGCACGTGCGTCTGGGCCGCATGCATCACACCTCGGTGCAGAGCCGGGTGTACCAGGCTGAGGGGCTTCAGCGTTGGGGTTTGTCTCCTGTGGGTGGGGAGACAACGGGCGGCAGCGGGGGCCTGGCAGTTACTGAGCGTGTCTTCAGTGTCTTCAAGTGCAGACCCCACCCGGAGCACATCTTTCAGCAGAGTGGCTGTACCAAGGGAACGACCCTTCCCACCCCAGGGAGCGGAGCCACTTCCCAATAGCAGGTCGTATCTTCTGCTACGATGCCTGGGAGCCCAGGGGGTCGTTTCTCAATATTTCTTTATCATGGAGACAAGCCAGTTTTTGTTTTTGTTTTTGCTTTTTTCTTCCCTGGCTCTTCCCTGAAGCCCCCTCGTCTCAGCTACATGTGGCTAAATGGGAAGGAATATAGGATTGCAGTAAATGGGAAGGGATGTAGGATTGCAGTAAATAGCGCTGCTGGTGGCAAGGAAACCACTGGACCCGTGCAGTTGAAGGTCCTTCAGGGATTTCAGGGGTCTTCCAACCATTGATTTTGATTTTGATTTTATTTTTTTTAAATACAGCCCCCCTCATCTGCTGTGTTTGCTGTTAAAGAAAATCAGCATTGATGCTAGAAGCAGAGGGGCCAGGAAACTAAAATTCAAGTAGACGTAAATTTAAGAGCCACGGAGAAATAGTAATAGGTTAACTATTATGTTCTAACCCCTTTATAGGTGGTCAAGTGAGAAGGGATAAATTAGGACTCCCAATATTCTACATCAGAAGACCAGTGTTTGCCTCATACGAACACAGCCAACCGCTTGGCATTAAAACATTCTCTTTTTTTTGTGAAAGATGTAAACCACTTAGAGAAGCACAGAAAATTATGTAATAGATTTGTTGGCTCTTTAGAAGCCAGTTAGATTTTGGGATCAGTTATGTTTAACCAATTCATTCTAGTTTGCCTCTGCAGTGATAATCAATACCTGAAAATTATAAGCTGTCCTCATTAAACATTCTCCTTGATTCCACCAACATCTCTATTTTAAAAAGAAAAAAAAACATACACACACACACACACCAGCTGGGGCTCCTGGGAGGCTCAGTCAGTCCAGCGTCCACCTTGGGCTCAGGTCACGACTGCAGGGTCCCGGGATTGAGTCCCACTGGGGGCTCCCTGCCCAGTGGGGAGCCTGCTATTCCCTCTCTCACTCGCTCATAGTAGAATAGGAGAGGTCTTGGTGAATCGGGTGGGCATAAAGCAATACCCTGTAGTTCTTGGCTACTAGGAAAGTCACGTTTTTTTCATGTTGATTGACTATTCTTCCTGCTTTTCTTTTTTTTTTTTTTTTTCAGATTTTCTTCTTGGAATCTTAAGATTTTTCCTTTCCTTGTTTATTTTTAGAGATATCTTATGGTAAAGATATTTAATGATTGCCTGGAATATGTATGGCAAGCATTTTTTTTCTAGATGGTGTTTGCCATCTAATTTTTTAATAGGGCGTTAAAACGTATAGAAATTTTAATATTTATGTTTTCAACTCTACAATATTTTTCTTGGTAAATTTCCTTCCTGATTGCTCTTTTGTTTAGAATGTACTTCTCCAGTTCTAGGTACTCTTTATATTCTCTTATGTATTCTTAAATTTTTGAATTATCTTTCTGTTTTGCACTTAAATTTTTGATTCATTAAAAAATTATTTTACGTTAGTATGTGAGGTAGGATTTAATTTTTTTTCTTTAATGATTAACAAACTTGTCCTATGACATTTATTGAAAACATTCTTTTCGGCTTTTCTGAATGTCTCTACTGTGATATTCTAAACTTTAAAGCATCTTCCTCTAATATCTTATTAAATTCAAATAAGAAATATACTGGATTTCCCATTTTATATAGCTTAGAGAAAATTCTCAGACTTTTTTTTTTTCTGTGATTGTCCCCAGCAAATTGCTAGTGTATTAGGGATACAAGAGATTGCACCTAATATAATTTTGCATTTTGAATCTATGAAACTCTTGGGTGCTGATTCAATATGCTCTTCAGAGTGGGTGGCTTTGTGGAAGCCTCAAGCATCATCTGTTTCAAAGATATGAAAAAGCCATAGGCAGGGTGTCTAGGACAAGATGATAAATGGCATTTGCTAGTTTTTATTGAGCACACGCCAAACAGGTTATCACATTATGAAGCTGTAATAATTAACATCCCTCGTACCAAAATATGTTATTTGAAAATGTGCTTGTTTATTCCTTAAACACCTTGTTGTCTAAAAGACTCGTATGGTCGTTTTATAGAAGCATGATAACTTTTGCTGTTTGATAATGTACAAACAATATGTTAACAAATATATATCTTGAAGAATAATAGTCAATTCAAGTCTGTCAAACCAGCAAAATTACTCTGATAGTCAGTACTTATATTTGTAGCACAGCCTGATGTTTATATTTAAAAGGCCAGTGCCACAATTTGCATAGAAAACAAAGATATTAATTCATTTTTATAGCATATATATCATATACTTTACTACCACTAGATGACAGCAAAACAATAAATTTTACATTCACATTTCACAGCAGTTTCCTCTTTTATCTCGTACAATAAGGTGTTATATCAGGATATCTGCAATTAACAAATACTTTAATCTTATTTGTGTATCATAATAAATTAGAAAACAAAATATTGTGAAGGTGTATTTTGGTAGAAAACACATAAAATCTTTTTTGGGATGACGATGGTTAGTAGGTCTTAACGTTCACTCAACGGTTTCACGACTCGATGTTGAAACATGTGCAGAAGTTAATTACGCCGTCAAATAAATGTTTGAAATCCGTAATAATGTCTCATAAGGCATTTTTCATCTGAATTTCTTCAGGAAATCATTATTATGCTTTTTTGAGGGAAAAAAAGGTATTTTGAATGAAAGGCCACTTTCTCGTGGTAAATACTGAAAACATATTGCTAGCCTAAATGTCTTAATTGAAAATAAAGTTTGAAAACGACATAAGGCTTAGGCAAAATTAATTTAAACCACAATATTTCTCATTTTTTAAGATCTCCGGCTTTTTAAAAATCACATTGACATTCTAACTTCATTTTAAGTGTGATGAACCGCTCATCTTCTCTAAAGTGTATATTCATTAAGAAATATATAAATATGCTGATAATAAAAAGGACGCAGCGTGGAAATTGACATATGCATGATTTCCTCGCTATTAACCAGTCGTATTCTTTCTTTTCAAGCTAGGGATAGCGGTTGTCGGCCTGGATATGAACCGAGTGAAAAAATACCTTTACCAATGTCTGACCAAAGCTTTTGGAAATGTCTAGGACCCCGATAGAGGAAGGCCCCTCTAGGTCACGGCAATCCCAAGCATCCATCTGGTATTCTGTGTCGGATATGCAGGATGTCAGATTTCGGGGGCTCCTGTAGAAGCAGACCCCATACCAGACCCCATACCCGACCAAAGACCATTCCTAAGTCCTGGGAGGGGAAGTGGAATGCCTTGTATGAATGATTGGGGGGGAGGAAATCCTTCACATGGGAGAATTGGGCTCAATCAAAAAAAAAAAATACAACCATTATGAGATTAGATATACACTGGCATCTGTAGCTACGTGATTGAAAGCAGGGTTTTTGTTCCTGTTGTTGGCGTTATTTTGTTCTGCGTAGACGGTGTGTGTGCACCTTCATGTCAACCTCTTCCTGCTTCTCCCACCCTCAGCTAACCACTCTTCCACTCTGTTTCTATGAATTTGACTTTTCTTTTTTTCTTCCATGATTTTATGTCCCACATACGACACTACGCAGTGTTTGTCGTTCTCTGTTTTATTTCGATTAACATAATGCTCTCAAGGTTAATCCATGTTGCTGCAAATGGGAGAATTTCCTTCTGTCTCATGCATGAATATCCCATTGTGTGTAAATACCGTGTCTTCTTGATCTGTTCATGCACTGACACACATGGAAGCTGTTTCCATGTCTTGGCTGTTGTGAAAGATGCTGCGTTGAATGTGGGAGCACAACATATCTCTCTGCTGCCTTTGGGTATTTATATACAGAAGTGGGATCATGTAGTAGTACTGTGTTTTTTTTTTTCGTTTTTTAAACTGGCCAGCTTCAGGGCTCAGGTCATAGTCCCCGGGGACTGACCCGCAGGGCTCTAAGCCGAAGTCACCACCTCCAGGAGCCCACGTCCTCAGCTGCAAGTGGACATGTTGCCAGCCCTTTTATTTATTTATTTTTCAATTCTTGAGGAACCTCCATATAGTTTTCCACAGTGGCTGCATGAATTTACGTTCCCAACAACAGTGCACAAGGGTTGCCTTTTCTCCACATCCTAACCAATGCTTGTTTCTCGTCTCTTGGAGAATGGCATTCTAATGGAGGTGAGGTGGTGTCTCATTGTGGTTTGGTTTTGTTTTGTTTTAGATTTTATTTATTTATTTGACAGCACAAGCAGGGGAAGTGGCAGAGAAAGAGAAAAGCAGGCTGATCCCAGGACCCTCTGTTCACCACCTGAGCCCCAGGCAGACGCTCAACCCAACTGACTGAGCCACCCAGGCACCCCTGACTGTGGTTTTGATTTGCATTTCCCTGAGGATTAGTGATGTTGAGCACCTTCTCACGTACCTGTTGGCCATTTGCAGGTCTTCTTTGGAAAAAATGTCTATTCATGTCCTCTGCCCAGTTCGTAACTGGATTGCTTGTCTTAGAGGGGAAAGCCTGGGTTCTTGAGTCAGATCCTCTAGCGTTGAAACCTAGACTTTCTTTTACTTTCTTTCTTTACTTTTCTTTCTTTCTTTCTTTACTAGTTCTGTGACTTTGGACAAATCCTTTTTTTTTTTTTTAAGATTTTATTTATGTATTCATGAGAGACACACAGAGAGAGACAGGCTCCCCACAGGGAGCCTGATGCGGGACTCAATCCCTGGACCTGGGATCATGCCCTGAGCCGAAGGCAGACACTCAACCACTGAGTCACCCAGGCGCCCCTGGACAAATTCATAGTATGTCAAAACCTCAGCCATCTGATGCATAAAATAAGAATAAAATAACAGTCCTAGTCATTTCACAGGTCTGTGAAATGAATTCATACAAATCTTGTAGAGCTCACAGCAAAATTCAGGGAAAACAGCAAAGAAAAAAAAACCCTATTCAATTATTTTTCATTGAAATGTATGTTCTTTATAGTAGTTTATCTCTAATTATGCTGGGCCTCTGTGTTACTCTTATTCAAATTTAAAATAATAGAGGGAGGGTAGCCAGCTTGATTATTGATTCCTAAATAGTAAACCCATGTTCTCTCTTTTGAGTGTTCCTTTCTCTACTCAAGATACATCTTAACATTTATCTTTATAGAAGTGGTGGGAAAAGAAACTGATGTGTTAATACTTATTTCTGTATTCAGTGGGTGTCAGATGGCTGGTTTTTTAATGTTTTAAATAAAAAAGATGTAAGGGGGCAGGATCTAGCAGAAAGATCTTTGAGGTGGCAGTCAGAATTACTTAAAAGTAACGTATTGGGAGATTTTAAGATTTTATTTATTTTAAGATTTTATTTATTTGACAGAAAGAGAACGCGCAAGAGAGAGCACGCACACTCATGAGCAGAGAAAGAGCATGAGCAGAGGGAGAGGGAGAAGCACACTCCCCACTGAGCAGGGAGCCTAGTGCTGGCTCCATCCCAAGGTTCTGGGATCATGACCTGAGCCGAAAGCAGATGCTTAACCGACTGAGCCCACCTGGGCGCCCTCTCAAATTAGATATTTTTTTTTTAATTTTTTTAAATTATTTATTTATGATAGTCACACACACACACAGAGAGGCAGAGACAAGGCAGAGACATAGGCAGAGGGAGAAGCAGGCTCCATGCCCCGGAGCCCGACGTGGGATTCGATCCCAGGTCTCCAGGATCACGCCCTGGGCCAAAGGCAGGCGCCAAACCGCTGCGCCACCCAGGGATCCCTCAAATTAGATATTTTTAAATGAGTTTGGACTCATGGACACTGAGCCCACTGATTTTGGATATTTTATTCTACTCACAAAAGGGAAAAGTTAAATTGTCTCAAGAATTTAATCTTTGACCACACAGACTCCACCACAGTAGCACAGACCTTCTTCAAACATGGGTGCAAGAAAGGGCCATCCTCTTTTCTCCTCTGCAGAGTTTCAGGCAGTTAGCATAGAACTGCTTTTCTCATCAGGCAGGGTAGAAATAAAATCCCTGATCTGGGCTAAATATGTTTGGTTTAAATAATACTGCTGATTGAACAAATTATACCATGTTTGATATAAGTATAATATGATTTCAAAAGTGTTATTAAGGGAAAGTGGGGGAGAAGGAAATATCTAAATAAACAATAGGATGGGATTTTTGGTCTGTTAGCTACCATTTTACATTTTACTGTTTGAATGTAGAGTGTCTATATCTCAATTTTCAACTCGATTTTAAGCTTATATTTGATGCCCTAAGGGAGGGAAATTTTTCCTCGATGTAATTATTTCTCTAAAGTATTTGTTTGGAAACAAACAAAAAAAATTTGTTTTTGATTTTTTTTTTCAAATTGCTATATGTTACATAGAACTTTAGATTTTGAAGGAGTGACAATCAATCAAGTGCTAAGTAAATTAACTAGATATGTTAATTGTAAGCAAACATTATTCGTGTTGATTTTTTTATATATATTTATATTATTCCCTCCCCTTCTTTTTCCTTTTTGCAGAACTTGGGATTAATTTTAATCACATATGGCAAAAAACCTTGACCGTGTTAAACCCACTGAAGCCAGCAGACGGCAGTATCATGAATGAAACGGACCTCACTGGGCCCATCCTGTTTTGTGTGACTCTAGGAGCCACCTTGCTTCTGGTAATAGCAGCAAGCACCTGATTTTAACCTGTATCCTTCCAAACGTCATTTTTTGAAGAGGTCTTTGTTAATACAGAAGAAACTGTGTTACTTTATAAAGTGGTCACTTGTTTAACTGATAACTATTTTTTTTTTTTTTTTGGTGAGTGAGACATAGTTGACCATAGTGACAAAGAGATGCAGCCCTCAAATATTACAACAGATAAAATATAAATGTGAACAGATTTTAAAAATCAAATCACCAAGCACGTTTTCCACAAAACAGGATCCTTTATGTCTTTCTTGTTATTTAGAAAAGATCGTCCATCTGAAATAGTTGAAAAACACATGAATTTGGGAAACATAGGCCCAAATTTTATTTCTTGTTTTCTGTGACATTTCTCATCACACCAGAGAGATCCCTTCTCTTTGCTCATCATTTTCTTTGCTGGGGTGCACCCATAAAATATTTTGAATACCCTGTGAGGTACGGGTACGAGATGAGTTTCCTTGTTTCTATTTAGGTTATTATAAACACATTAATTTGCAATGATAACCAATGGCTTGATGTATTCAACCTATATATTTCTCTATTATTTTAGTTTTCTGCTTTTTATGAAGGCATTTTCCCCCTGACTTTACCATTTGTCTTGTGTATGGGCCTCTTTCATTTTTTAAACCTGGGAGTAATGAGATTGAGTCACCAAAGAAGTAAAGAAAAACATTTCCGTGTAAGTTAAGTTTTTTTTTAATTTTTATTTATTTATGATAGTCACAGAGAGAGAGAGAGAGAGAGAGAGAGAGAGAGACATAGGCAGAGGGAGAAGCAGGCTCCATGCACTGGGAGCCCAATGTGAGATTCGATCCCTGGTCTCCAGGATCGCGCCCTGGGCCAAAGGCAGGGGCTAAACTGCTGCGCCACCCAGGGATCCCTTTTTTTTTTCTTTTTTTTTTTCTTTAGTTAAGTTTTGAAGAAATTCTAGCTCATACTTTACAAAATATTTCATTAAAAAAAAGGAAGAAAAAGAGAAAATGAAGAAAGGTCTATGGTTTTAAACCAAATGCAGAAAACAGAGGATGAAAAAGATGGTCAGGCCAGTCTGAAAAGTATAGTTTGATTAAGGTGCAAAGAGATAAACTTGACTGGAGAAAGAATACAGGAAATTAAAAATTCTAGGAAAATCCCTTAAAATAATTATTAGTCCAATTCTCCATCTCAACAGCTCTTCACTTTCCATAAGTCTGTTTTCCCCAGTGTAGCTACAGTTTTCAAAAGCAGATGTAAAATGTATTTGCAACTAAATATTCACTTTTTACTTTTTTATTCACTTTATACCAATCAAAATACTGATAGCAATCTAGTTTCTGCATGGTAATATGGTTAAAAATCACATCACATTTATCCAATACAATAGTATTTAGTGATAACATCTTATTTTTTCCTTTGAACTAGAGCAAATGCAAATACTCTGTAAATCAAACACTATATCAACTAGAGTTTTAATTTAATCTCTAATATCCCTTCTGTCTTTGTCACAGTAATTTGATTATCTTAGCTATATACTAAGTAAAATCATGTCAATTAATCAAATAGAAACAATTTAATATTTTAACCCATATTTCTTTTTCAAGTGACTTCTAATATAACAGCTGTTTGTTTTCCTATCCAAAACATTACTATTACCATTCCTTAAAGGAAAACATTAATGCAAGTAAAATCTTTTTAGGGTATATAATGTTAGTTGGAATCATTTAAATATCTTCTTTTTTGTTTTAAGTATAAAGCAATATAGGCAAAGAACCCAACTGGAAGTGAGAAAATTGGATGCACCCCTAACTTTGCCTCTAGGTATGATCTTGACATTTTTGTTTTCTATTTCTTCATTTCGAAGACAAAGGTTTATGTAAGTGGTATTAAGTGGTATTCTTAAAGTTCCTTCAGTTCTAAAATTTAGGGAAAGATGTGAAAATGCATATTTTCTGAAATATTTTAGGCAGACATTCTTCAGGTTAATTTTACCATCAGATGTGGTTACTTCAGAACTGACTCCAATACACATTGAGCAAGAAAGACCAAAAACAACAAAAAGTCACCCAAATATATACTAATGAAGTCAGATTTCACTCAGAGTCCATTTGAAGTTAAGCTGACCATGCCCTGGACATCTGGAATTAAAATGTAAAAGAAAAGTTTATAGGCTGGTATATGCATTGTACTAGAGAAAGCAAAACCAAATCCAAAACAATATTCAATTTGTTCATTTTCTCCAGATGTATAAGACTCATAGTCACATACTTATTTTTTCTGATTTCTGTTGACATAAGGCATGACACCAATATCTTTTAGTGGCCTTTCTTCATAGTGAAGGAGGCAGACCAAAAAGGACAGCTTCAAACAGCATAAACTGAGTTTTATTCTTGCTCTCAAAATTATTCTCACCCCCAAAACAAGGAGGATAAGTGGTTTAAAAGTGTGACTCCATTTAACTTTTCTGGTAGATCTAAGAATACAATCTGGAAAAGGATCATGCATGACCCATGTGAAAACATAGTTAGAAGAATAATAAGTATTTCAAACCCAGATACGGTAATGAGGTTTGTACAAGGAAGGCCCATAAAGTTTTGAGGTTAAAAAGAAATGGAACATTTGCTTTCCATTTCAGTTACAAGCCCTTTTTAGAATTTAAAACAGATTAAAAATGGTGGTGGCCCCCTCCAAATGGAATTACAGCTTAAGTTGGATAGACTAACAAGGAAGGAGATGAAGAGAGAAGTCATCGATTAATATTGAAAGGAACAGTTTTACTACCAAATTAATTTTGTCTACCCTCTGTATACCCCAGTCTGTTCAAAAAACTACTTGGGGTTGGGAAAGTCTAGCTCTGTATCCTTTGGTTGTGGGGAAGTTGCCCTTCACCATTACAACTTTTGCTTCCTCACAATTCTCCCAATTAAAATATCAAGTAGACTGTTTCTCTAATATATATAAGTGATTTGAAATGGTCACTATTTTCCAAGTGGAGGAAACTCACCCTATAGAACAATAACTGATGGGCTTCTTAAGGATGTCCGTTAGCATTATTAGTATTATTTCACGAGCTAAGCATGAGACTACGGAAGTTGGTGAGAACTTTTATGGCTAATGCCAGAGAGAATTCTGCAAGCATAGCCCAGGGACATTTTGTGAAAGGACTTGATAGTGACCAACCTCCCCCTCTGTACAGAGGAAGAAGAACCCAAAATGGCTAGGCAATTTGGAACATCAAAATGGTCATAATATTCTCCATTAATTAACTGCAAAGTAAATCTCTTTATTCCGTAAGACATAAAAACTATGGATAACAGCCACAGAGAAGAAAACATGACGGCTAAAAAGCTCACTCTCTGAGTTTACCAGATCCTTCGTTGTCTTGCATAATTTCTGTGAAAAACAGAGTCAGCCTGTTCAATATTTATCTAGAATTCCTAATCAGCTTATGCAAATAGAAACACCAAAAGCGTTCTTTACCGGAGCTTTGGCATCCTCAGGTAACAGACGTGAGAGTATCCTCAGTTGAATCAATAGTAGATTGTGACTTTCCCTGGGTGGGTTTAATGGGACTATGTCAGCTCCCATCCCGAGGGCCTTGTGGGGGATGGTTCTGTTTATGAGTCCTCAGAAAGTCAGTGTTGTCTCCTGAACGCTACTGATTTCCCTTTAGCAGTACTTTTTTAAATTTTTTGATTCATTACCATTTGGCTTATATAAACCAGCTTTTCATAAGGTATGTTCAGTTAAACTGGTAATATGTGTTATGAAAACAGAGGATTGTTTGGGATATGCCAGGTTAGATAAGGTTGAGTAAATTTGGGATATGCCAGGTTAGATAAGGCTAAGTAAGTCCCATTATTTTAAGACCTGTGAGAGACCCTGTAGATATCCACGATCTAATTTTAGAGCCAGACTGGCTAGCTTCAAAGCCAAGTTCCACCACTTAACATTATTTTACTTTGGACAAGTTACATATTCTCTGCACCTTCATTTGCTCATGGGCAGAATGAGTATCATAATGGCACCTATCGCATCAGGCTGTTGTGTGGATTAAATAATTTAATACACGTGAAGTGCTCAGAATAGGACCTAACAGTACATCCTATAGATATTTGCTAACATTACTAATCTGCCTTATAAAATCTTCAAAGCTAAAGTGGAGATTTTCATTCATTCATTCATTCATTCATTCAATTATTAACAAATAGGGGAACAAACATATTCCTACTTATGTCTTGTACATCTAATAGATGATCTCTGCTAAAAACAAACAAAAAACAAACAAACAAAACAAAACAAAACAAAACAAATGACCTAGAAAATTTTCATCTTTTCTGTGGCATGCACGTGCCACCCCGAATACAATAAGGAGGGTTTGTTTTCAGGACCTGAATTCATAGGACAGCCAGTGTTTTTTTTTTTCCCCAGAACTCCCAGCCTTCTGATGATCGTCCTGGAAACACACGACACAGTGTTGAACTGATTGGTTCTCAAATGCTCTCTGCCTTGTTGACATTCCAGTGTCCTCTTGATGTCAGCTGTGTGTCCAGCTGTTTTCTTCCCGTTGTTGCAGGCAGGAAAGGTTCAGTTTGGTTACGTGTACGGCCTGAGCGCTGTGGGCTGCCTGGGGATTCACACCTTGCTGAGCTTGATGAGCTCCCCGGGGCTGTCCTGTGGCTGTGTGGCGAGCGTGCTGGGCTACTGCCTGCTACCCATGGTCATCCTGTCCGGCTGCGGCCTCGTCTTCTCACTGCAGTGAGTGTCTGCGACACCAGGTGCCCCTTGTGCAGTCTTCCTTTCCCTCAGGCTTGCCACACCAGGGTCGCAGTTAATGCCTTTCTGATCTTTTGGGTCATGGGATTGGGGGAACGTTGGCTGTTAAAAGCCACACACAGATTCGGGGAAGTAGGTCCATTTTGGCTCAGGTACTGTTCCCATTTGGAGGATTTCAATGATAAACCAAGCCGTCTCTGACACTGGCACGTTGGAAGTCGTTGCATTCTTCAGTATGAACCATTGTCCGGAGTGACATAACGACTGCAGAAAATTCACTTGTTTGATTTTGGAAGAGTAAGCGCCTGGTGAAGGCTGACAAATTGCTTCAGCTCCCAGGCCCTCTGCCTTCCAGAGGCAAACAACTGTCCTCCTCAGCTGGGCTCCTTGCAGTGAATTCCCAGGAGCCCTGATGAGGACGTCAGTGCTAGAGAGCTCTCTAGCCTATATGCTCAGCCGTGACTATTAGTGAGGATCCAGTAGATCTGTTGCTGTTGGGCAGTTTCCCAGGGCACATCCCCCACTGTATGGGGAGAGCAAGAACTGACACAGTCCTTCATCCCCTACAGTCTCTGAACCCAGTAGACATTTGCCATCAGTGCTCATCCTTCCACATCTAAAGGAGGCACAATTTGTATTTTTTTTCTTGGATGATCCATATTTTAAGTTATTAGCACTAATAATTGCTAATTGGACAACGTATTATATAAAGAATTTACCAATGCCAAAGGTAGACATTTTAGGAGAGCCTTTAAAGATTTTGTTTAGATACCTCCTATAGTTTTTTTTCATGACCTTATTGAGATGTCTTAGTTGAAAATGTTTCCTTGTCTTAACATGGTCTCATATTTATTTAGTTAGTTATTTAGCTTGAGTGGGAGGGGCAGAGGGAGAGGTGGAGAGAGAATCCCAAGCAGGCTCCATACCCAGTGCAGAGCCTGCCATAAGATCATGACCGGAGCCAAAGTGAAGAGTTGGCTGCATACCTGAGCCACCCAGGTGCCCCAGTATGGTTTCATTTTAAAGGTGACATTCTTGAGAATAACTTAGAGCAAACCCTTACTTTATCAGCAAGTAGTCAACATTTTAAAAAGAGGAATAAAACAGAAAATGGATGCCTTGAATATGGAATACAATGTCAGTTATATTTATTGAGTCTTATCCATGGAAAAATACTACTTTTTGTATATCATGTTCTTCAGCAAGCTTTTCTATTTACTAAGTTGTTTGGTACAGACATTTGACATGTTAACACAGAGTTTAGTTCTACAAATTCTATTTTGTTAAATGCTTTTGCCAAAGGATGCTATAATGACTAACCATTTAAAAACTTTAAAAGATTATTTCCAGCAGAGTTAAGGTTTGGGGCACCTCAAGTGACTCCAGATTATTAGGGGAAGAAAATAAAAAACTAAAATGAGATGTTGAAAATCATTAGAAGTCTGGACCTTTTTTCATTAGATTTTCATTCTTCTTATTTTAAGATTTTATTTGTTTATTCACGAGAGACACACAGAGAGAGGCAGAGACTCAGGCAGAGGGAGAAGCAGGTTCCCTGCAGGGAGCCCGATGTGGAACTGGGTCCTGGACCCTGGGGTCATGACCTGAGCTGAAGGCAGATGCTCAGCTACTGAGCCCCCCATGCATCCCTAGATTTTCATTCTCAAATGATAAAGGATGACTTTGAAATCTCTTAAATTATATTAAAGGAGAGTAAATTATCCAATCCTGAAAACTATTACACTGAAATTTCCTTTTGGGGGCATATTACTATATCATTCAAATAAATTAGATATAATTTTACATTTTTGTTCATAAAAACCTGTGTATTAAACAAAACAAAAAACCTTGTGTATTAGATCAACCTACAAATTATTTCTAATAGATATTGAACCAATGAATATAATCCTTATTAGAATGCATTTTAGATATTTTTGGTTTATTTATAATCCAAAGCATTATAAGCTATACTATATAGTTTTCCACTTGTTTTTCTTTGGTTCATTTATTAAAAGTAAATATTTTTGTCATTACCATGAATAATAAACATAATTCTCAACTTCAGATTATACCAGAATCAAGTGAGACAGTGTCACTTGATGGTGAAAGGAGTAGTGTGCCAGTAGGAATTAGCTCTTGACCTAATAATGGCCGTTTTACTATGCAATTTTCCACGTGTCACCTCACTGTTCCAAAGCTTCAGACTAGATATCTTGTGATCTTTCCTAAATCTTACAGCTTATTTTTCCAAATAAAACATTCTGTTTTGCATATAAGGAGAGAAATTCACTCTTTGCTACGCGCATCTCCTCTTTTTATCCCCATGGTAGCTAGACTTCACTACCGTATTTGCCCATTTCTTCTTAGAGAGCCAGGTGCCTCCACAGTTGTCTTTGAAGATATCAATTTGAACAAATCCATTCCAGTATTCTGAAAAATCCACAATACACTCACAAAAGGAATCTTCAGCAATGAGATGGGAAGCCACACACATGTCTGTGTTCCCTCCTTGAGCTGTGTCAGGCTTTGCCATCTCAGAAACCTGAAAAGTGGACCTGGGAGCAGTAGGGATGAGGCCCCTACTGGAATGCGAGCCCATTTATCTTTCTGCTCATACCATGCATACATTTGAAAAGACCGTGTGGGGAAACAAATCTGTAACTATAAAAGAAGACCCTAGTTTCTATAAAAGTTTTTCTGGAGTTGGGATTTGAGTGTTGACAGATGGGGGGTAACTGCAAAAATTTGCATTTCTACTAGTTCACGTTTTTACTGAAGTATAAAATGTTTACCTCTGATGGGGAATTTGGCTCACAGATTTTCAAGCTGGCCAAGGCCTTTGAGTTTGTAGGGTTCCCCACCTCATTTTACAAATGGAGGCAGTATTTAAAAATATTGTACCAAGGACATTTCAGAGGCAGCTCTGACTCAATAATGACTTTTTCCCTTGACAGAAGGTAATCATCTCTTTTGTCTTTGCCGTAGGGGCACCTTTGGAACTGTGTTGGCACTGGTCATCATTGGCTGGTGTAGTCTTTCCGCTTCCAAAATCTTCATTTCGGCCTTGGACATGAAAGGACAACAGCTTCTCGTCGCCTACCCTTGTGCTTTATTTTATGGACTTTTTGCCCTTCTAACAGTTTTCTGAAGAGTATTTGAAATGCTGTTTCAAGATTCTATTTGTTTCCTGTTCACATTACCCTGAAAATGCGTTAGCATTCAAATTTGGTAATATGATTTCTGCTTTATGGCTGTTGGGAGAATAATAAGCAAAGAGACAAAACAGCACTTAAGGATGATACTCTAATAACTTGTTTGGTTTGAATGATGTTTTGCTTTTTGGTTTGGTGCATTAAAACATTTTAAAATATTTTAAAAGAAAAGGGAATACAGTTGTTGTATTGATGGACCTTGCTTCTCTCAATGGATCTATTTTTAAGAAATTGTAGGTAAATAAAATCATATGATGACTGTGTAAAGTAAAGCAATGGTGAGTCTTTTGAGAAACGTCCGTGACAATTTAAGCTGTGTTCACGTGGTTAAGGTCACACCATCCAGCACCTTTGGAGAATTGAAGAGGAGGGTCATATGGGGTTTTACTTACCTAAGAATTCAAAGAATCTCCTGTTTTTTAGTTCATTTACTGTAACAGCTGCACCTTTGTCCCAACAATGCATTGACTCACCACTTTTCAAGCCTTCTATCTTGGTTTAGATGCCACGGTTCATTATTATAATTTCTTTCTCTCATTTGTCCTCAGCAACCTTAACCATTTGCTCTCTAAATAGACAAATGTGATGAGAGGATATTCTACTTGTTTCACTTTGATTATATTACTATATCTTAAATGGCTCCACAATTCTGTCTTTTGAATCCTAGGACATTACCCTACTGAATTTGCTTTCCCACCTTCCAAGAGGATCATATCACACCACTCCTTCACTGCTCAGATCTCCCAGTACACCTACCACATTTCTCACTGTTGGTTGATGACCTTTCTTTGCATTTTATTGAAAAATTAATTAAAACAGCCAGAAGAAAAGTGCTACGTTTTCCCACCAACAAATCTACCGGACTATATGCAGCTTTCCACGTACCTGTATGTATATGTGTATGTGTGTATGGACACACACGAGAATGTTCTGCATTCCCTCCTGACACTGTCTCTTCACAGCCAGCCCTTCCACCTATACAACTAACGTTTTCCTCTTGATCTGCATAAATTCTAATTCTGGTTCCAATGTGTAGGGTTTTTCCCCACACCACCAAGCAATGCTCCAACACTAGCTGGATGCCTTCCAGTTTGACTTAGTTCTGATACTATCTACCTGGAGATAGTTCAGATTCCACAAGTTAAGGGCTCAGTCCAAAAATCTGCTCTCTATCCCCATTTCAAATGATAATTGCAAGTCCAGGTTGTCACCTGTACTTCTGACCAACCGGTTATAGATTGAAGGTTCCAATGACCTCCTCTTTGGGTTTAATTCATTTGCTAGGGCAGCTCAGAGAACTCAGAGAAACATTTTACATACTAGATTGCAAGTTTATTATAAAAAGATATAACTGAGGAACAGCCAGAGGGAAGAGGTGTGAGGTATGGGGAGAGGGTGCTGAGCTCCTGTGCCCTCCTTAGGCACATCATTCTTCCAAGGACTCCCCATGTTCCCGGGCTGGAAGCTCCCTGGTCCCTAAGCACCCAGCCCCCAGCCTTGGGGCTTTCTAGATGTCACCTCATTAACATAACAGAAGACAGTTTTAGAAAGTTTCAAGGGTTTTAGGAGTTTTGTGCCAGGAAGGGTGAAGGCCAAATGTATATTTCATAGTATAAATCCCAGTATCACACCTGTCACTCAGAACATAAATATGGTTCATTATCTCCCATCTTAAAATAAAAAATCCTTTGATTCACTACCACTTCCCAGTTAGGCTTATTTCTATAACACAAATCTTTGAAACAGATGTCTGTTGTCTCTGCCTCCACTTTATCACCACCCATTCTCTCTTTCTTACAACCCAGCCAAGATTCATTACCCTGTTTATCAAGGCCACCTTTGTCATATCAGCAAATCCTCCGCATCTGGCTAAGTCCAATGGTCAGTCATTCATTTTAGTTGAACTCCTAGGAATTTGATTACCCTCTTCACCAACTCCTTTGCTGAACCACTTCACTAGACTTGTGGGGCACCACACTTTTTTTTTTTTTCCTATCTCACTGATGGCTTTTTCTCAATTCTTTAGGTTTTCTTCCCCTTCTCAATCTCAAATCTCTTCTGTATATACTCACTTGCTAGATGAGCTCATGTAATTGCATAGCTTTAAAATCTAATGACTTCCAAATTTCCATCTCCCATCCAGCAATCTCCCCTAAACTCTGGACAGGAACCACAAATCACCCAACTGCTCGGCCTAAAAACTAGTAGTTTGTCTTTATCACTCTTATTTTCACTTCCGACATCTAATCCATCAGAACATCCTGTTGACTCTGTAATCAAAATGTACTCCAAATGTGAGTATGTCTTATGAGCTCATTCACTGCCAATGCTACATTAAGTCAGTATCATCTGTCATCTGATGAAAACAATCTTTTTACTGGTTTCCAGCTTCCATGCTTTCTCCCCAGTAGGTTTTTCTACACACGCAACCTTCAGGAGCTTTTTAAAATGTAAATCACTTGTATTATCCCAAGTCCAGGGCCCTTTAATGACTTTCATTCATATTTACAATAAAATTCAACCACCTTTTCATAGCTCAAAAGCTTCTTATTCAGAGTGCTCCTCAGAACAATAGCAATAGCATCCTCCGGAAGATCATTAGAAATTCAGAATCCCAACCCTCGCCCCAGACCAACTAAACCAGAGTCTGTTTTAACAAGATCCTAGATGATTTGTATGCACAAGAAAGCTTGAAAAGCACTACTGGAGAGAAGAAGGCTTAGCTTGCCTGATCTGACCATGTTTTGCCTTCCTGACCTCATCTTTCATTTTCGCTCCCATTCCCTGGTTTTATTGCTACGGCTTAGACCACCACGTTTAGCCACCTCAAGATCTTTATGACCGTTCAGTCTACCTGCAATATTCTCAATCTAAATCTTTCATATTAGTCAGGTCTCTGTTCACATTTTACCTCCTTAGAGAGACCTTGACTGGCTATTCTTTCTGAAACAGTACCTCTCCTCGCTTTGCTCAGTCTGTTGAATTGCCTTACACTCCCAGAGTTCTTAGGATACCTGAAATTACGTTATTGTTTCTTTCTTTTCTATCTCTAAATACGTTGAACCCAGAGACTTTGTCTAAATACAATAGTTCATGACAAAAATAGCAGATTAAGACCTATTGAATGAATGAATGAATAAGACTGTGGTTTGGTGTTGATTGTTGTAGCAAACAAGACAACCAAGGCTACAGCCATAAGAGAAATTACAGTGGCAATGGTGGGGGTGGGGTAGGGGGTGGAGGATAGACAATAAACAATAAACAGTAAATAAACAAGACAATTAGAAAAGTATGAGAAAAATACTAAGGTAGGAATGTGTAGAAAAGAAGGCAGGACTTCAGTAAATGTTGGACTTCTGTAGTGAAAACCCATTAATGGACCCGTTAGTAGTCATGAAGTTTTCTTAAGTTCTTGCTTTTTCTACTTGGACTGAGATAGTCCTATGGACTCTTTATCTAAGAGACCTGAAGTACAAATGCTATTTGTTTAAGTGATTTATTTATATAATCATCCTATTGCTTAGTGGTACATTTACATGATAGACTTAAAATTTTTACCTTGCAAAAGTGCTTTTATTAAAATAAGTTATAGGTAAAAATTGCTCTAAATTCAGGATGTAAGCTGACATTTTTCTATGCATAGAAATAGGTCATACACAGAAAAGGTTGGATGTTTTTACTATGAAAAATTATAACCACCACATAAGTATCCAGATAAACAAAGTACTAAATATTTCATAACAGCAAGAAGTAAGAATAAATTCTATTTAATAGTTCCTAATGGCAAAATTATGAAATACATAAGAATCAATGTAAAAATAGATAATCTCTATGAAAATAATTAGAAAATACTAGATTCACTTGTTAGGGAGACTAGAACATGCAGATGGATATACTGTACCCCAGGACAAGAAACTGAACTTTGTAAAAGAATATCCCCAAAACAAATATATAGGTTTCATACAATTCCAATTAAAACTCCAGGGGTATTTTTCTTGGACGTTGGCAAAGTGATTTTAAGGTTAATCTGAAAAAAAAAAAAAGCAAATATATAGCCCTGAGAAATCAGAAATAACCTAAAAATTTATTACAATAGGCAGTGAGTTAAGTCAATTCTTACTCATCTCTATAGTTGAATGCTAGGTAATGATAGAAAAATCATCTTGAAGAATGATAGCATGAGAAAATACATGTATTAAATTCTCATAATTTTGATATTTACTGAGGACTTACTATGGGTTGACATAGATGCTCTACAGTAATAACTCAATCTTCACAGTAACGTTATGAAGTGTTTGTATCATCACCTCCATTTTACAGATGAGACTACTGAGTTACGAGAAGGCTAAATTACTTGCTCAAGGCTATTTAACCAACAACCAGGATTTGAATCGGGGAAGTGTGTCTCTGGGATCCATAACCACCACATAACACTGCCTATAACTGAGCAAAAACCCTCATTACATCTTCATGGCCCCCAACATGTCTACCATTTATTGTGCTCTCAACTTATTTATTTCCTCTCGACTTTGGCCCACACTAGACACCAAGAAGCTTTACGTGATGGAGAATAACAGTATAGAAGAAGAACCCAGAATGTCTAAAAGGACTAAAATGTTGCCTGCATGACTCCCGGGAACATTTCTGAACTCTGGTTGGAGTAAGCTATGCATATTCAGATCTAGTTAGCATTTAGATAGGAAAATCTCACAAAATACGGGCCTCTTCTCCATTCCAAGTAATGATGAATATGTCATAGATTTGTACGGAATGGAGATATTTTTCTTTTCTCGTAAAGGTGAACTGTATTTATTTCAGTAGAGCATATTCCAGAAGAAATGATAAAGTGAAAGGAAGCATAATTAGGGTACATAACTAGAAATACATGTTTTTGGTTTAATGGACTCTGACTACCCTTTTCACTCTCCCTTTCCTCAAATGTTTTCAACTTCTTTTATCTGAGAATGTAACACCTTTCCACTTTTCTGTCTTTACTCGTTGGATAAAAGTTACAGATTGTGTGCTAAGGGTAAATGGCACATTTGGAGTCAAGAAATGGCCTTCATTTCTACAGGAATGATTGGGGACATGTGCTGAAAATAAAAGTCCTGAATTACTTAGACTCAAGTGCCCCAGTTCACAACAGTTTAACTAGAGCAGTGGCCTTTGCAACATTTGAGGACAGATGTTTCCCTACTCTGCTCTGGTTCCCAGTGAAGAATGCCAACTGCGAAACCACACTGACGGTCTCCTGCTCTGCTTTTTCCTAGAGCACAGTAGGTTCTATACCGTTTCTCGGTGCCACAGTCAACGATCCATAGCTTTTCAAATCTGTTTTCATTTCTAAGTGGAAGTTTGGAATGATTTTTTTTTTAAGTTTAAAGACCAACCAGGCTGTATCACAGAGAATCCATGATGATGGTGACCATATACATATTTTCAGAAAAAAACAATAGATTTTTTTTCATGAAGGTAGGATTCATGGGCTTTCACGCTGCTAATTAGCCTTGCAAAGTGGTGAAAACACTATGTATAAGGACTTTGATGTCTAAGAAAGAAGAAGGAAGGAAAGCAGACAGACAGAAGGTAGGAAGGGGAGGAAAGTAGGGAAGGAAGGGAATGGGGGACGAAGAAGAGGAGAAGGAGAATCCTAGATTCTGGGCTTGGGTTCTGCATGGAGACAGCTTTGTGGCTTTTTCACACAGAAAATGAAGTCAATGGTGCAGAGTTTGTATGGTCTTTATGAGGTCTAAACAAGCTGCTGCATAGACAGGACGTAGCCTAGTGCCAGCCAGGAACACAGTAATTACTCAGTAAATGGAAACTTGCCCTGGCTCTAATAGATCCTCTAGGACGAGCTTTTAAGAAGGACTCTTTGCTTTTCCATTATATCATGAATAAAATTATGAGTAAAGGATAATGGCTCTAATTGATATCCATGTTTAGTGGAAAACAACTATTTTGACATAGTAATGCAATCGGTGAGGGGACTATGTTGAGGTTAGCTAAACTTTTTTAGTGTTATTAGAAATATTAACACAGTTCTATGAATTTGAAATAAAGATCTCTACTGAAGTCTATTTGTCCACCAGGCATCGACACCTCTTATAGTCAAGGTATTACCCTCCATTGACCAGAGCAGACACCAAAGCAGGCAGTTAATTTTTTTTAATTGAAAGAAAATAAATTTATTTATTTATTTATTTATTTATTTATTTATTTATTTGACAGAGAGGGAGAACACAAGGGTGGTGGGTGGTGGTTGGCGGGTGGGAGGCAGAGGGAGAGGGAGAAGCAGGCTCCCCTCTGAGCAAAGGAACCCAATAGACTGAGCCCCCAGGACCCCGGGATCATGACCTGAGCCAATGGCAGATACTTACCCCTTAGAGCCCCACAGGTGCCCCTAAAGCAGACAGTAGCTTTAGCCCCGGCGGCCCGGAGCCCGTGAACCAGGGTCAGCCAGTCAGGGCTTGCTGGTTGGCTCCTGGAATCCTGGTGAACTGATACAAAGGCCCAGGGACAATTAAACCTGCTCATGGAAGCAGAAGATCAGATGCAAGCCGGGGCAGCAGGAGGGAGGCCTGGGTGGCTCAGTCGGTGAAGCAACTGCCATCGGCTCAGGACTCTATCCCACCCCTCCGCCCACGATGTTGGGCTCCCTGCACTGGGACTGGAGGGAGCCTGCTTCTCCCTCTCCCTCTGCTCCTGCTCGGTTGTGCTCTTCTCTCTCTCTCAAGTAAATAAATAAATAAATAAATAAATACACACATAAATAAATACATAAATAAATACATAAATAAATAAAATCTTTAAAAAGAAGGAAGAAAGCAAAGCAGGAAAGAGCAGAGGCGGCCGAGGCCCTTCCCGCGGCCTAGTGACCCCGTGGGCTGGGGCCTTGAGCTACTGCTGAGCCTGGGCACCCTGGTCTGTCTTGCTTCTTAAAATGCGGAAAGGATGGGAATTATGCCTATTGAATAAGAAGCGTGAGCTCTCCTGGGCCTCGGTCTCTGAGGCCCTGGCCGTGATGGTTGTGCACGGGCCCCAGAGTGCTGTTCCGGATTTGTGTGTTTGCTGTCCATTTTCCCAGAGAGACCGCTGGAGAGAGCCCAAAACAATGCATAGAGTATGCAAGGGTATTTTTATATTTCTCACGTTACTTCTGGAAACAGTGCACAAAAGCATTTCTCTTGTCTCTGTTGGGGCTTGGCCCTAGGTATGTCTCTGCAGAGCACCACAGGGCCTGGTGAGACACTTTGCACACTTCTGAATTATACCTACCTTGTTCATCTGCCTTGAGTCACGAGTGCCATTAAGAAACGATTCTTTAAAAAAAAAAAAAGATTCTTAATTAAAGTGATAAATCAGAAATATAAATAACTCCTCCCTGATATGCGTTAATGCTTTACTTATCCTATCAGAAATACCACCTCCAGGAAGATTTCCCCATGGTAAATTCCCTTCGGCACAAACTATTTCATAAACCTTTGACCATGTATAAGCTTTGATAAAATACCTTCCTTCAATAGCCATTAGTATTTACTTAAACGTATTTTCATAGATTACTATTTTATAATAATGAAAGATTCTATCTACTGATGTTTGCTCTCAATCATAGTTTAATCTTGAGAAGATTCTTCTTGAGCAGAATAAACTCATCCAGAATTTTTTTTAAAATCCAGAATATTTTTAAATTGTCACCAGAGACACCCTGGATCATGTGCAAAGATCCACAGAACCATGGGCCCAGCAGTTATTCTCTCCTGCGTGACCTGCCAATGCCAGTCCTCCATCGCAGCTCGGTGCGTGCAGCCTATAGGAGTTGACCACCAGAATCATTTGGGGTTTTGGTTGAAGTTGTTTCAGATTCTTCCACTCTGGTTTTCTACTTTTTTCCCCCTTTGATGGGTAGAAAAAGGAAAAAAAAATATGTGTGTGTACAATATGCTGGAAGGAAGTATCTATAAGGAATGAACACCTGGTGAGCACCTACTCTATTTCAGTGTTTTATATAGAAAGATCTCATTTTATCATCAGAAAAAGCAATGAGTAGGTGCCTGGGTGGCTCAGTTGGTTAAGCATCTGCCTTGGGCTCAGGTCATGACCTCAGGGTCCTGGGATCGAGCCCCATGTCGGGCTCCCCGCTCAGCAGGGAGTCTGCTTGTCCCCCTCCCTCTGCTCTCCCCGCAACTGGCCTGCTCTCTCTCTCAAGTAAGTAAATAAATAAGATATTTAAAAAAAATAAAGAAAGAAAAAGCGATGAGAATGTATGCTAATGGAAAACATAAAGGAAGAGAATACGGTGCCTTCTCTACGCGTCCCCACGTCATCGCGTGTCTCCTACTGTTGTGGGTGTTAGAAGTGCCTGAGTTTGTCTACATCTTCAGTGGAGCTAAGTGTCAGGAGGACACTGATTGCGCTGCTGTGCTAGGGTTGCTGTCACAAAGTTCCACAGACTGGGTGTCTTAAGGCCAAGATCAAGGTGTTAGCAAGTCTGGTTTCTTCTAAGGCCTCCCCGGTGGGCTCCTGGGGCCGCCTTTGCCTATGCCCCCATGAATTCTTTCCTTGGTCGGGTTTCTCTGTCCTAATAGCCACTTCTCATGAGGACATCCATCCATCCTACTGGATTACGGCCCATCCTAGGGTCTCATTTTACCCTAATTATCCCTTGAAAGGCCCTCTCCAGGCAGCCCTTGCCCCAGGGCCAGGCAGCAGTGGCCCAGGGCCCCACGTCTACTTTCAGAGCCCCCCTGGGGCTGCAGGTGAGGGCCCAGGTGGGGCGGACGACGAGGGCCCAGTGAGGCGCCAAGAGAAAGTCACAGTCAAGTATGACCCCAAGGAGCTATGGAAGCGCCTCAACCGGGAGGAGTGGATCCTGGATCAGCTTGCTCGCCTCTATGACTGCCAGGAAGAAGAGATCCCAGAATTGGAGATTGATGTGAATGAACTCCTGGACATGGAAAGTGATGATACCCAGGCCGCCAGGGTCAAGGAGCTGCTGGTTGACTGTTACAAACCCACTGAGGCCTTCATCTCTGGCCTGCTGGACAAGATATGGGGCATGCAGAAGCTGAGCACACCCCAGAAGAAGTAGGGTCCTCGGCCCAGGTGAACGGTGGCTCCCACAGGACTATCGCTGCCCCCCGACCTCGTAGCAACAGCAATACCAGGGGGCCCTGCAGCCAGGCCTGGTGCCATGAGCAGGGCTCCCCGTGCCTCTGGCTCAGGGGCCCCATCCCTGCCCCCTCAGTTTTCCATTTTGGGGTTTTTTTATTGTTATTAAACTAATAGGACTTTTTGTCCTATTCTGCGGTGCGGCCCTTTAATAAAGCTAGGGTATGCCTTTGGTGCAAAAATAAAAAATAAAAAAAAAAAAAAAAAAAAAAAAGGCCCTCTCCAGCTACGGTTACATCCTGAAGTACTGGAGCTTAGCACTTCAGTGTATGAATCGAGGAGAGGGGAGCACAGCTCAGTCTACAGCGTTCTCCAAGGCCCCTCATTTTTATTTCCTGTCACCATCCTCTACAAACGTTAGCGCCTGTTTCTCTCATACTGTCCATTTATCCAAGTAATTTCCTAATCTCTTCTTCAGGCTGCTAAGAACGACCTTCCATACCCCTCAGGACACCCCCTCCCCATGTATAGCATCTCCCAGGGAATACGGCCCCTGCCAGCAACTCCTGTCCCTCTGCACACATGTGCTACTGCCTTTCCTAACTCGGCTGCTCGTGACCTATGGTGGAAATGACCGTCGAGGTTCTGGGCCCAACCCTTAGGAGGAGCGGCTGCTTCTGCCTCCTGACTCTTGAAGCCTGAACCCACTTGTTTGAGAAGTTTCGGCCCCTCTGTTGGAATAAGACACTACACAGAGGAGCGCTCAAGGCTGGAAACCTTGGTGACGAAGATGTCGTGGCCTTTGGGCTCCCACCCTGAGAACACGTTGATGAGACCTCAAACTGAAGGCATGTCTCTCCCCGACCGCTGTCCTTCGAGACCACAGCCACCTCTGTACTCACCTGACTTCACTGAAGCCCCCCCCCCCCCCCCCGCCGTTCACCACCTTTGGAAGGGCTGGTACCCTAAGCTTAGAGCAGTATTTGCACTAGCCCGGTACCCAGAGGAGGCAACGGAGGCGGTCTTGCCTTCTGTCCTTACCCAAGAAGTTGGCTGGCTCTGTCCAAAGGGAACTCCAACCCTCTAAACAATTTGATAAAATTAATGTATTTTTAGGACAAACTCTTGCACTCTTAACATAAAACCAATTTCACGTAATTTGAAATCTATTCACTGGAGCAACCAGCCACAGAATGGTTCTCAAATATTCTTGAACCTGAAATGCCTGTTAAGGTACAATTGGTACTGTCAACATCCCTTGCACAATTTTAATGAGAAAAAAAATTAAAAGCACACTCTTCTGTATGGCCAGTCATTAATCACTGTAATGATAGCGGGGAAGTAAATTAACTGATACTATAACCTCTTCCCCTTCAGAAGCTAAGTAATCATAAAGGTACCACAGGAAAATTGGTTACATCTGAGCACATTTTTATAAGGAGTGATGATAATTAAAAACGTTAAAAAATCAAAGTCTTGGGTTTTTGTTTTGGTTTTGGAGTTTTTGTTTTGTTTTTTAGCTGAAAACAGAAATCTGAGAACTCCAAACATGGAGGCAGTATGGCAATTCTCATCTTTTCCCCACTGTCACTTTGTGCATGCTTCTCGGGCCAGGCCTTTACCCTCTTTCTTGTGGTGCCTCCTCTAGGGGACCCTTGTATATCCACTGAGGATTTGGGATCCTTACGGGGCTGCTCTTTTCTCAAGGGACCTGCATATCCATGTAGATGGTGTGTCCTGTGCTCCACCTTCTGAGGGCCTCGATCACCGCCCTCGCCTTATTTCTCCTCCATCGTCGTACTACTATAGCTGCCTTCTGGACTTTGCTGTTTACTTGAATTATTCCATCTCGAAAGAAAAATTTCACTAGTCTCATCTGTTCTTCAGTCTGTTCCTTTTTTATTTCAGTATTCTTTTCCCATCCCAAGACACTTCAGTTTTATTTCTATCCAGGCCAGATACGATGGTGTCTCACACTCAACTCCCATAGCCCTCTGCACCTTCTGCCAACAGGCTTTGCCTAGCTGCAAACATCCTCGGATTAACATAAACTTCTGGTTTCCTAATTTTCTCCATGGTCTTGTGGGAGAGGCTAGCAAACTGGAGAATTGCACAAAGACTGATTAGTCTGATTTCAAGTTTATAAACTCAAATACCAAATGGGTTCTCAAAGCAACTCAATTTTTATAAGAGTAAAACATGTTTATTATACAACTCAGAAAAACAGACAAAAAACAAACTGTGGAGAGGAGAAAGGACCTACAACATCCTACGGAAAAAATGTCATTAAGATTTTGGTGCTGTTCCTCCCAATTTCATTTCTGTGTGTGTAAAACACAAAAGGTGCACATTATTTTCACAAAATGCCCTTTAACATTATAAAATGCACTTAGTCCAGAGTCCATAGGACTTATTTCCAGTATTTAACTTTTAATGAATTTCATAAATCCTCCCTTTTAGACATGTTACAATTTGTGGCTAACTTTCCCCTGCTGGTGGATATTTAGGTTGTTAGTGACCAGCAACTCAAACTTTTTTTTCTCTAGAATGAATGCCTAAAAATAGAACTTAGGAGCTAAAGAAAAAAACAGTTATGCATTTCTCAATGTACTTTGACAAATCATCTTTGAGAAAATTGAGAACAGTAGATTTTGGTAACAGTGGAAGTAACAACTGTTTTGTCTTACATTCAAACTGAGCAGCATCTGAAGGGTTTTGTTAATTTAAGCGACCAGAATTTGTATATATTTGTTTGATTTTGAGTAAGACTCAGAGTTTTCATACTATACATTTCTTGGTACCTGTGAATGAGCTCTTCACATCATCTAAGTAATTCTCTGGACCGTTCCTGACCATCCCACTGTCCCATCCTTTTTAGTCTCTCTCAGTGATCTGGTGGTCACACGCTCCAATTCCACACCTTCCCAGTTTGGCTTCCGATATTTTAAATGAAATCGAATCTCTGTGGTAAAGATATTCCTTCCCCCTCCCTTCCCATACCCTCTGTCTTGTGTGCTGTGTACTGACAACTCAGGGTCATTTCTCCCTTGGTGTGCATGACTTTGAATCACGCGAGTCAGAAACCTTGGGATTGAGTTTATCAAACTTCCACCTTGAGTTGTCCAGGTAAGATTCCAGGAAGACTTTTATGCAGAAGGTGTGGCTGGAAAGAAGCAGAGATGGGTCGTCATTGATCCTAGGTGGTGGTGGGCACTCAGGGGTCTTGGCAGGAGGCAAATACAGATGGTCCCTGGCTTAGGATGGTTTGACTTATGATTTTTTGACTTTAAGAGAGTGTGAAAGTGAGCCTCCTTCCGCAGAAACCGTCCTTCACATTTTGAATCTTGACCTTCCCGGGCAAGCGATCCGCATGCATCACGACGACCTGCAATGGCACGGCCTGCAGCTCCCGGTCAGCCACATGGCTGGGGGTGAACGTTCACAACTGCTCTGCACACATCCAACCACTCCGGTGTCTACCTGCCCTGTGATGCCCAATGGGTCAGGTGAGGTATTCAGCACTGTTACATGATTTTGCACAACCGCAGGCTACTGCAAGTGTTCTGAGCGCATGTCAGGTATGCCAGGCGGAGCTGTGATGTCAGACGGGCCAGGGGTAGTAAGTGCATTTCCAACTCATGCTCTTTTCATCTTATGAAGGGTTTCGTGGGGCCCTAAGTCCATCATAAGTGGAGGAAGGTCTGTGTGAGGTTTTCCCACCTTTCAGGTGTTCTCTCCTCACTCATCCAGTTTGATGCCACAGGCAGTGGAGATTACCACTGGCATTTTCCCACAATTCCCATATAACTTGAATTCTTGAGTTCTAGAGGCTTCACTGTTAGGCGCCCAGCTCCAGACCCAAATCCTGTCTGATTGTCCAGGCTGCACCAAAGGCAATCACAGGGTGTTGCTGAGCAGGCTTCTGAGGGAGAAGCCGCCCTCATCATAGCAGACCTGTGGCATAACCAGGGCGTTGAAACCCTCTGGAGGGAACGACAGTCAAGGAATCAGGCTCCTCTGGGCCAGCCACGTTCATCTGCACATTGGAAACCACTTCATGAGGTGGCCGGGGTGGGGGGCCTCTGCATTTCCCAGACCTTTCCACTGCTAGCCTCCCCCCGCTGAGTCCCAACCACCCACTGATGGATCCATAAAGAGGTAGAGGCCTCTGTTCAGGACTCCTCAGTAGTGATAGGCCCCCTGCCACCCTTACCACACCCTCCTGAGCCCTGGCCAGGGCCATCCCATGGGGAAAAACAGAACATGGGGAAGCCGGGGTCTCCTTTCGTCCCTTGCTGGCACTTGTGGCAACAAGTGAATGAACGCTTGACTTACTTTTCAGTTTGGCTTGTTGCCCTAATTGATGACATCACACCTGATCACCAGACACCCTCATCTTTGCTCTCCTGGTCCTCACGCTCTGTGCTAAATCCCGTCCAACATCAAATACCTGGGGTTGTTTCTATTGTTTTGACAGAACCCTTACAGAGACATGTAACTAGTGTCTCTTCTTTCCCTGCCACTTACCAGGAGGAAATGTCACATTTCCTGCTCAAAGTTAATAATTCATTTTCTCAGTCATTTATTCACCTATTCATGTAAACCTATTTATTAAATATCCGGTACTGTGTTATTATCACTGGCGCTGTGTTAGTTCCTGAGAATATAAAGTGAAGATGGTTTATGCCCTCAAGGAGTCCATTGTCTTGACTCTAAGATACAAGTGGACAGATGATTACGATTCAGACATGATTGCAGGGTGCCATGGGGAGACAGAGGAAGGTCACTCAATGCAGTCAGTGGTTGCGTAGTTACACAGCAGGTGGTATCTCAGCCCAGAAAAATCATATAATAAAATTTGTTGAAGAATGCTGACCAGAAATGAGAGTTTGTCAGAGGGTGTGAGGCTGAGGAAAGCAGGAAGGGGAGAAACAGTGAAAGTTCCCATGGCCGGAGGAGTGGGGGTACTTAGCCAAGAAATGGAAAGGAGAAGCAAAGGAGAAAAGGAGAAGCAAAGGAGGAAAGGAGAAACTCTAGGCAGCCAGCCATGTTGTTCGATCTTGAGGGGGTGAAGGAGGGGGGAGGAGAGATGGCCCTGGAC